TACCGTACACTCAATGTTTATCGGTCAGCTATATCTGCTACACATCCACAGATCCAAGGTTGGAATGTAGGCGAGCACCCGGTAATAGTTCAATTGTTGAAAGGGATTTTTAATTCTCGTCCTCCTATGCCTAGGTATATTAATACTTGGGATGTGAATGCAGTCACAAAGTATTTTGAAAGTTGCAGTGCGAATGACAAACTAACATTAAAACAATTGAGTAAGAAACTAGTTGTGCTGCTAGCACTTACTTCAGCAGAAAGAGGCTCAGAATTAATTGCTCATGATTTAAGGTTCAGGCGATTCCATCCAGAAGGGGTATCGTTTAACCTTCCGGAGCTTACCAAAGGAGTTCGTACCGGGAAACCACTGAAAATCTCTTTTCATGCAAATTTTCCCACAAATGAGTTGCTGTGTCCGGTCGCATGTCTCAAAGAGTATGAGAAACGAACAAAACATTTTCGTCCGAGTGCCAGCAAAGAACCAAATAAACTGTTTTTATCAGTAAATAAACCTCACAAACCTATAACCTCCTCAACGTTGTCCCATTGGGTAAAGGATTGCTTACTAGAAGCAGGAATAGACAACAATGTATTTAAAGCACACTCTACAAGAGGTGCATCGACGTCTGCAGCAGCTAGAGCTGGTATTTCTCTTCCTGAAATAATCAAATTGGGAGACTGGACAAAGGATAGTACCTTCAAGCGATTCTATTATCGTCCGGTATGGAATGCTACTGTAGGTCGTTCGATATTACACAATGCTTCAGTAGGATGAGGCTTTAAACTTACATTGTTATATCGAGGCGAGTATTATGAAGTACAATTGGGGATTATGCAAAGGCTGCTTGCAGCCTGCAGTATAAGCATAATTGTACGAAATAATAAGAGACGAGATATAACAATGTAAATCCCACCCACCTCTACCCCTAGTTATGTGGTGTTTGTTATGTTTGTTATTATTATTTTCTTTTAGTTTGGATTTATATTGATGGTCCATGGTCTTGGATTGTTCGCCCGAAAAAAGGCAACGTGGACAAGGGGATGCCGGGGATATGAGCAGGGGCAACCTCGTTTTGAGTTAAAGTTAATATATTCTGTAAATTGCTATTGTGAGTGAAGTTAATAAAGGGCATTTACATTGTTATATCTCGTCTCTTATTATTTCGTACAATTATGCTTATACTGCAGGCTGCAAGCAGCCTTTGCATAATCCCCAATTATACATTTAATTTACAACCAAAATATTTAATAATAATAATATCTTCAATTAAGTGATTTTTAATCTGATTTAGTGATTTAAAAACAATTAAACAAATGAAATACTAAAGAAACGTTATGGAACCAAACGAAAACCAGCAAGAACACGGGAAAAAAGGCGAAAGACTTGCTAAAAGAAGCGAGCAAAGACGCCGACGTTTGTTACAAGGCATTGAAAGACTTTATTTAGAGAACGTGCAGCCAAACAGAAAATGTAATGGTTTTGCTGCCAAGGCGAGGGGTTTCTACATGCATGTACATCTATTTCTAGTATCGATGTGATAAAAGCATATCACGGATAGTATAAGCAATAGCGTTTCCTGTCTTACGAACAATTTACATTAAAACAAGTTCACTTTCCCTTCGGAATTTCTCTATTTAAATCACACAAGAAAATACATGCATGCAGCAACCTCTCGCCTTTCTTGACACATGAAGTACAAAAACTCCACATAAAATATTAAGACCGTCATAAATAAACATAACAACACAACTGATGCGCTAGCTTAATGAACGGTAACATTCGCTGCAATTTCATGTATACCAGCTTGTCCTGATTAAAACACATTATTAATTGCGAATTATGGAGTTGAGAATGGCTTAAAATCTCCCAGATATTAATGAAATCGACAACGCGAAATGGAATTTTACTACTGAAATCTTTAATACTCTTACTAAAACCGGCACAACAATGATTAAACAATTAAAAACATCAGCATGATCAAAACGATTATTACAAACTTTGTTTCACGGTTGAACAGCCATTAATTCATCCAACTGCATGCAGGCTTTTTTCCTGCAGTTAAAATCGAAAAAAAACGTTTTGTACTTTTGTAAACTTTATCCAAAAATTTACCAAAATTTATAACAAAACAAAATTGCTGTAAAACAGCAAAATACGTTCCTTCACCAGAGGAGGTTGGACAGTATTGAGCGCCTAATTCCACGCGTGGCTTCATTGACTGTTGATTGTCGAGGAGTGAACATCTCTCTGACTAAACCAATATGGAAGCTTTCGAACAACAACAGTGTCAGATACTCTGTGAAAAGAGCATATTGCTGTATTGTTGCGATCCTCATTATGACTTGTGTTTTGCTATACCAAGTTTATCTTTTTTTAAATTGCATTGGACGTGCTGTCATTTTAGTTTAGTTTATAAATAATCCGCCTGAGCGAAGGAATTGTGTTTATATAAACATTCCCAAATCCCAATAGCAAGGCTCTCCTTTCTAAGTTACATGGCGTTAAATCTCCGTGTATCATCAACGTAAAAACAAGAGCAGTATTTAAGGTTGGTATACTACAATGCATTACAGTTATCTTGTTATTTTATAATCAAATTTCCGCTTTGTTGTTTTTATTCTTGTACTGTACTGTAATTTCAGAAATACAATGTACAAAATTATAACGTAATATTTGTGTTTATTGCCTCTAGTTTGACCCTATTGTGTGTGTGTGTGTGTGTGTGTATGTACTGTGTCACTGTGATATATTATGTACATGTTTTGAGTTAAACAAATTGTTTAAAGGGAAATGGCAATATATTTTTTTATTTTCTCGTTTGAAAGAACTTTTGAAACTATTTAATAACTTCTTTTACCGATTCTTCATATCTTGCATAGTTCTTGAAATATTTTCACTTGAAGTAATGAGATGTCAACCATCTTGGATACATTTTTTTATCTCATTAACGGCAGTTTTGGTGACGTCACAACAGGGATTGACCATATAAAAGTATTCGTTGCTGACCAAATATTGATTGGTAGATGTTTTCAAGTTTTCAAGTGATCTTGATATTTCCAAGGGCATACAGAGTATAATTTTGAGTGCAAAATGATTAGTGGTTGTCTAGATAGAAATATTCCGTGACACCTGTTGTGACGTAACATGCATATCTACAAAAATCCAAGATGGCGGACATTTCATTTCTTTCGATTAAAATAATTGTAGAAGTAAGCAAGGTATGAAAAAACGGTAAAAGAGTTTTATATATGCTTTTTAATGTTCTTTCAAACGAGAAAATAAAAAAAATATATTGCAATTTCCATTTAATAAATTTTTGCTGAAGTATGATGCCTGCTTGTATCTAGTTGTGGATAGATTTTTACATACAGTATATGTACATACAGTAGTTATATATTTTTCAATTTTCATTTGTAAATAATATTGCCATATTTGTGTGTTGTTCTAACATTATGTAAATAATGACACACTTTTGCATTAGATTGCTAATTTTAGAGATTACAGTGTATGTTTCTTGTTATGATTTTGTAGAAAGAGATCTACTTGAGTGGTTGGCTGGTCTTGAACCTGGTCAGGATGGATATGGTAATGAAGGTGATAGGGCAGGAAGTGATGACCAGTTAGGGGCGGACCATTAGAAAATGGGGGAGGGGGGGTGGCAATTTTTTCGGGCAGGATATTTTTTTTTGCAACAACGTTGTGCAAGATTTTTTTTTTTCAGCCATGCTTGTGTTGCACGATTTTTTTTTAAAGGAATGTGAACTATAATTTATTAATATTATACAGCCCTATTTATATTACCATTA